AGAAATAGTAGTTGTGTTTTAATGCCAGGCACCGGGCTACACGTTATCCTTTTCAGGCTGGAAACAAAAGCAAAAACCAACACAGAGATTGGACCACCGCTCGCGCGCTGCCTTGCTCCTTGCTCCACGTCCGCTAAATGGAAAAAGTAAGCTAATTAGTTAATGAAAGATATTTTCCTTTGTTCGAGAGTTGCCGCAGAACGTCCTGCAGGACACTGCTGTCACACTGAGCGAAATGTGGCCAACAACAGAGATATGAAAATTCATGTTTTCCTGCCATTGTCTTTCTGACAATTAAATTTGTAGAATTAATAAGATACTTAAACTACAAATTAAAATGAAAATATCAGGTCAGAGTTCAAGGATTTTGGGTGGAAAATCCTATAGAAATATCATTTAAAGGGTATTTCTCCCTCCCTCAGACTTTGAATGGTAATTAACTTTTGCTTAAAATTAAAATTGCAAAAAGGGTAAAGTGAGGAAAAGTGTGGCGGAAAAATGGTATTCGGAAAATCGGAGGTCCGCAGCAGTTACCCGTGTGTAGGAGCCGTAGGCATCTGTAATATATGTAAAGTGCAGACCCCTGGCATACACACACCCCCCTCTCGCCCTCTCCTGGGAGCAGGCATCTGCCTTTGTTTGGCAATTTCGACCCGTTCGCTGCTCATTTTCAGCTTTCTTTCTTCTCTTGCCACTTTCTTTGTGCCCCACTGCATAATTCTCCCAGCCAGGACCTCCCTCCCCTTTTGAGGGATGGAGGAACAGAGACGAGAACCCGTGTCCAGCACTTTGTTGCGCTTTCTGGTCCGTGGTCAGCGGCCCGTGAGCTCGGCGCCCTTTTGTAATGCAAAATTGTTTTGCTTGAATAAATCATAAGCTTAAAGCGGCCGCGGGCGAGTTTAAAGTCAGTTGCCAGTTGTACCTTTTGGTTTGTACCTACCACTCCCAACCTTTTTCAGGATATTCCTTGGAGATTATTATCAGCATTAAATTTTTGGAAATTATAAGGTGGAAATTTAAATGGAATAAATTGTGTCATTTTTAATTACAAATAATTACTCTTAATAATAACAGAAAACTAATATTTCTCATTGTCCAATTTGGTGGCCAAGCCAAATTGGATTCCCGCCTGCTGAAATCCCAAATCCTTAGGGGTCCTGTCCATGAAATCCTTAAGCCAGAACCCCCTTCCGTGCGAGTCATAATCCCATACTGACTGCCTAATCTCTTCTTTCGCCTGCCAAGTGTCCCAGTCCGGACTCTGTTATCCTTTTCTGCTGAGATTGCTGGGCAGCGTTGGTTTTTCCTAGGCCATTTCCCCATTTTCCATTTCCCAGTTGCCCGTTGCGAGTTTTTTTTTTGACTCACTCCTTCTGGTCAATTTAGACGCACTTTACTTTTTCTGCATCAAAAGGAAAAATCATTGGGGAGAAAGGAATAACAGGACATGACAGCCTCCTGCCGGGCCCAACAGAAAATTGAGCGTGCAATTTGGCTTTTCTTTTCAATAATTTTCCATTAGACAAGAATACGGGCAGCGCGAGCAAAAAAAAAGCACAATAAAAAGGCGAAAAGCGGGGGGAAAAATCGAATGCGTTGGCACAAAAAAGGGGCAACCATTGGCCAGACCAGGCCAGGCCAGGCAAGACTGTGTAAATGGCGATAAGAGGATGTGGGGTGGATGACTGGCACACCACACACACACACAGACACACCTCAGGGCGTGTATAAATATAGTCAGGATGCGAACGACGACGACGGCCACGACGACGACACTTCTGGTTCAGTGAAGCATAAGAAATTCTCGAATGAATCGCTCTGTTGACGCTTGAGTAGACTTGAAGCGATAAGCGGTTTTTGTCCCATATACAAAAATATATCTAGTCGCGATTTCCTTTGTCAGCTGGGCTCCCCCTTCTCCCCTTACCATCTGGTGCAGTCATTCAAACAATAACTTTAAGCCGGGAATTTCCGATTTGCTTGGCCAAATTCAAAATCATTCAGCGGCCCTGAAAGGGGTGCTAATGGGGCGGTTTTTTTTTTAGCACCTTTAACCCGCCGGAATCGAATAAATTTGGAACCATTTCTGGGTTAACTCTGGGGTTAAATATAAATAATATTTTTACATACTTAGGGCCAACTTTGGTAATTATTTTAAGCCTGGTAATAAGTATTTTAGGCTTCTTTATCCCTTGATGAATTCATTTTTATCAATTTCTGGTTTAACTCTTGGGTTAAATATACAAATATATTATATTCGCACAAATATAGTGGCAATTTTGGTAATTATTTTTGCTATTTAAGAAGTTTTCTTGATAAATTTTGCCTTGTGGCTAGGTTTTTTATCAAAATGTAATATTTAAAGTTCTTGGAACACTGAAACCCGCCCTAGAGCACCTTAAAATCTGTGTGTGACCCTGGTAAATGAACCTCTAAATAGTCTTGGCTCATGAATATTTACAGGGCTATCGCCGGCAGCAAGGTGCTACTTACTAGAAGCAGCCCGCCGGGCGTATACGTGATGTGTAGATAGCTCATACGCCGCGTTGCCAGGCTTGTTCAGCTACCCAAACCTAGAGCCTTGAGCCTGGAGCCTTGAACCCAACAACGTCTGGCCTAATGGAATTAATCAAATGTCATGCTGATGTCGCACAAATGTAAAAAGTTCTCCTTCCCCCCCAGTTGCTGTGCCATGTCGCAGTTGCTCCTGTTCCTGTTCATTGGCACTCTGGTGTCAGATGTTTAAAGTTTCGGACAGCGGAGCTGCCGCATAACTAGTTAACAAGCAGTTGCCGCAGGCGGCGAGAGGACGATACACGACCAGGACGTGAACGTGGACGTGGATGTGAATGTGGACCATCGCACATCAAATTGTTTATCTTGGGCAGGCGCGCAGCATCTGTTTTCTCCCGCAGGCGACATATGGGCATGGGCAGGATCCGTTTTTGGTGTCGTGATTCCTTTCGCCCTCGGGGGGGTGCCATGTGTGTGTGTGTGTCCGTGTTGGAGCTAAATCTGAAACCAATTTGCTTAGCGCCCCCGTTCCATTCCTCAGCAGCGATTGCCACTCAATTTGAATTACGGCCAGGGGTCAAAGTTATGCTAGACGAGATGCTAGATATCGCGGGACCTGCGTGACATGTCCTGGCATATCACGAGATTGCTCCTTATTTATTTATTTATTTGTGCTGCCTTTTGGTATTAATAAACAGTAATATCTGGTGAGAATGGATAGAGAAAAGGATAGTTTCCCCTACATCTCCTCATTCTTTTTGTTATAACTTCCTGCGAAAAAGGACTCGAAACTTTAAATGAGCCGCAGTGCAGAAACTAAAATTGTAATTGTAACGTAAGGCAGGTCCCTGAGAGCAGGGGCATCCGCATTCCCACGGCATGTGTGTGTGTGTGTGTGTGGCCTTGCTACCTCCTGCCTGGCAGGGGCACCTCCCAGCCCAGCATAAAAATGCCGCTGACAAACTTTCGCCTCCCCTGATCCCTGATCCCTGGCCCTAGCCCTAGCCCCACCACGCGACTCTCAACGATGGCGTTGAAAATAATTACACTTGCTGATTTATTGAGTGTCGTGTGGTGCGAGGAGGAGCTGGAGGAGGAAGTGCCTTGCCACTGGCCGGATGTTGTTAATGAGGCACGACATTGGCTGGGATTGCTCGGATTGGATTGCACTGGCCACGTCATATTATAAGCGCCCTCAAGGTTGAGTGGGGGTCAAGTGATTAGACCCACTCCCCGGGCTGGCAGTGAGTAATTGTGTGGGGCAGCCTTACACAAAATCGATGCGGAATGCAGTCTATTAAATCCTGAGAAAGTCCTGGGAACTCAAGGAATAAGCGAGGTAATTAAACATTTCGTTTAAAAACTGCAAAAAAAAACCTCAAGGTAAGAGATTTCCTCGATTTGCGGTTAGTTTCCGTGATGTGTGCCATCCATGATTGGTGTACCTAATAGGCCAGACAATCCACCAACACCCAGCCAGATCCGGCTCCATCTCCATCTCCGTTTCCATCTCCATCTCCGACTCTGCTTTATGGTCGCGTGCGGCTGGCGCATATCCAAAGGCATCGCACAGGCGAAAGTGAAATTAATTACTCGACTTTGACTGGGCTGCAAGTTGGACTCAGAGCTTCGCCTCGCTTGAGCTGGCGTAATTAATGAAAAAGCAAACCGGGTCTAAGCTCACGTACTCACGGCACTGCGCCACTCCGATGACCTACGTCTACCCAGTGTCCCTGGTAGTGTGCCCAAAAATTTGATTAGTGCCAAGAGCCAGCTAGCCAGCCGCAGGATCTCGCGGAGATCGGAGCTGGATCCGATTACTTTGGACCCTCTTACAGCCACTTTCCTCTCATTAGGCTACAACGAGCCATCTTTTAATTATGGGCCAGCGACTCGGGCGGCTTTAATCAGCGTCAATTGGCAAATACAAAAGCGGAAATTGCGAAAATGTGTAAGAGCAAGAAGGCAGGACGAAAGGATTCAGCAGAGAATGGAGAAAGGATAGAGAGGAGCAGAGGAGCAGAGGAGGGGCCAAAGTGGAACACAAAAACCTTTTGCTAATTTAATTAAATTACACAATTTTCGCTGTCGCTTTTTGTAGAATAATTGGCAATAAATTGATTAAAGAGTTAATTAAACATGCGGCAATGCCCCGATACGGGGGCGTGGCAATGGGCGGGTGGGGGAGGGGTTCGATAGATAATTGCATTGGCACAAAGTGGGGGCGGAGGGAGTGGGTGTGTTCCCGGGTGTCTGGTAGTGTGTAAACGGATTTAAAACGCAATCGCCTCTGGGGCTGTGACCTCGATGGGGTTTATTTATCAGCCATTTCGATCATTCAAGGGGTTTCTTTGGTTAAATATAGAGTTTAAATTGTTTATATGTATCAAATTGATTCTGTATACAATTTTAGTTATATATATAATTTATTTAAATTTATTTATTAGTTTTTAATAAATCATAAAATCCTTCTCTCTCTTTTGCAGGCAAGGGAAACATGCCGCTGGCGTTGAAGACGTTGCAGCTAGCGTCCGGCGCCACGCCCCCGCCCCACTAGAAGTTGAGCCCTTACCCAACAATTGGCAAGGGCAAGGCAACGGCAGCATGGTCACAACGGCGGCAGCAACCACTTCCACCACTTCCACATCGACGGCAGCCACATCCGCCGGAGCCCCGTGGAGGAGGATGCACCACCTGCTGCTGAATAGTAGCTCAGAGGCTGGCCAAGTGGGCGGGGAGCCGGCGGCGGGCGTTGGGAGCCCCACGACGCCACCCGGCTACCTGCCGCTGTACGAAGACGTGGCAGAGGCGGAGGCGGAGGATGCCGGCTATGCGCTGATCGATGACATTAGCGAGTGGCTGCTGAGCTCGGCGGGTGTGGGAGTGGGCCCAGATGAGAACATGGATGCGGCGGGAGCGGAGAATAGCACGGCGGCAGCCAACGACACTCTGGGCTGGCTGGGTCTCGATCTGGGAGAGGTGCTCAACAGCACGCTCCCGAGCAGTCGGAGCAACGTCAGCTTTGTGCCGGCGGAGGCGGAGACGGAGGCTGCCACAACGGAGCCAGACTTGGAGACGGAAACGGAGGCGGAGCCCAGGGGCCGGTACGCGCTGCGCAGCTTTGTGGAGCAGCAGCTAGAGAGCGGGATTGGAGGCGCGGCTGCTGGCGGGGGCGGTGGCGATGCTGGCATCGCTTTGATCGACAGCGGGGAGGAGGCGGCGCTGGACAATGTGGCGGACGCGGAGACGGACTACGGCCTGCTTGGTGGCTTCGGCGATGCAGAGCTACTCCAGCGGACGGCAACGGCGGCGCGGGAAACGCTGCACAATCGAACGGCGTCCGTCAGCCACGGCTACGACGGCGGCGGCGGAATGGGAGCGGGACTGGGAGGAGGAGCGGGAGCAGGAGCAGGAGCGACGGGCGCTGGAGGAGGCGGCGGAACGGGAGGCAGCACCTTCATGCTGCTGCTAGAGAACTTTAACGATTATTTTCCTAACTACAATGGAAGCACGGTTTCGGGAACAACCACTGCCGCCTCGGGCATGGTGGTCACCGCCTCCTCCTCCTCCGCCGGCACCGTCGGCGTGGGCGGCCTGCTGATCGAGCAGAATCTGACGGGGCTGTATCTCGACGCCTATCGGCTGAACTGCACCAACGAGACGCTCAATCTGACGGATTCCTGCGCAGACATGCGTGTGGGTGAGTATTCCTCTTGCTCTCCTGGTCATAACCAGATGGTAAGACAACTTCCTGTTTGCCTCTTTTCAGTGGACCACAACTACTGGGCGCTCATCCTTATACTGTTCCCCATCCTGACCCTCTTTGGCAACATCCTGGTCATCCTGTCCGTGTGCCGCGAGCGCTCCCTGCAGACGGTCACGAATTATTTTATAGTCTCGTTGGCCATTGCCGATCTCCTGGTGGCTGTGGTCGTGATGCCATTTGCTGTATATTTTCTGGTAAGTGGCCCCCAACTATATATATACTCTCTCTCTCTATATATATAAGGATTCGTGGTGCCGAAATCAAAATGGCCAAATGCAAAATTGCCCGCCATTTGCGTTTAATTTTATCAAGTGTTGGGTCATACAATAAATAAACACGCTCATAAATAACCAAGCAGGAGGGTGTGGGACACCCAAGTCCTGCCGAAATGGGGGGTCAAGGCCAGGAGGGGGCGTGGCTTTTTACTAAATTGCGGCCATTCAAGCAATAACATTCAATTTTTGGCGCTGCCAGCATATAAATCAATGTGTGCGGTGCGAAATCGAAGGAGAGCGACTTAAGCTAAAAAACACTGCAAGAAAAAGATCTTTCTGGACATAAAAAACTCTCCAAATCCTTAAGAAATATTAAATAAATAAATGAAAATTAACTTGAACGAGTTATAATGCCTAATATACCCTCTAAATTCTTAAGAAATAATAAATAAATAAGTGAAAAATAAATGAATCATCCAGATAATTGATAGAAAAGTGAATCTTTTAAGCCCAAAAAGCACACCTAATAATGTAATTGCCTGTTTTACCCTACTCATTCGAGCTCTAACATTAAAAATTTAACACTTTACGTGTCCAAGCCACTCGATTATTTGTATTTCTTCGCCTGTAAGTGTAAGTTACAAGGAGACAGACACAGTTTGTGGGACACCCCAGGACACCCTTCGACTCGAACTGCTGTCTTGGACTGGTGCCTTTGACTTAAGCCGACGTAGTAGCTGTCATTCCCTATGATTGATTGTTCGATTGACTGACTGACTGTCTGACAGACTGCCTCCCTGGCTCCCAGTCCCGCTGGGAGTTGACTTCCGGCTGACTGGCTGGACTCTGCTCCACCAACTGACTGACTGACTGACAGATTGATGGAAGCGCCTCAGCGATCCGGGCCTTGTCCACTCTTGGGGTCTCATCAGCATGCGGATTGCGGTCCTCTCTCTCTCTTGGCTTTGCTAGGCAAATGCCGGATCCTGGAGCTGGAACCGGGATGGGCTATGCCAGATTGTTCTTTAAAAGTCATAATGCGTCAGAGCTGCCACAATTAATTGCATGTTTATTTAAAGCAAATTGCAATTGCAACTGTCAGGCGTTATTAAAATCCTTGGAAGTCTGAAAATAAAATTAACAACAGTGACAGGGGGTGGTGTTGTGCAGCCCAATGTCATTTAACAATAACAAATGTGCAACTTGTCACAAGAAACTGCCCTGTCGGCATAATTGAATGTTTGTTTAACACAAATTTATTTGCGCTTCTCTTTGGCAAATAATAAATTGCAAATAAAAAAAATAAATAAACAGGAAAAGAAGTTGAAGTTGAAACAAGCAGAAGTTTGTATTTATACTTTTTTTTACATTAATATGGTAAAAATATGTATTTGTGGCTTATTGTTCTAGATTTCCTTGTTTTCGTGTATAAAAACATTTATTAATAATTAATAATTCGAAAGTAATTAAAAAAAAAACAATATAAATATTGAAAAAAAAAAGATCAGAGACTTGGGCTCGTCCGGGAGTTGAACCCGGGACCTCTCGCACCCGAAGCGAGAATCATACCCCTAGACCAACGAGCCGCTTGAAGGAGGGGCCGTCCAGTGGGTGGTAAAAGGGAATAGAGCGAGACGGAGAGAGAGAGAGACTAGGCTTCGATGGCTAATATCTTCTGTTATTTGCCAAGTCCTATTTGCCTGCTTTTTTCGGCTTGTTGTGTCTAGAATCCAGTTAGAGCCACTGGAAGGTCAAGTGCAAATCGAAGCGGATTAAGTGTTGTTTGCGTATTACCAGCAAATTAACGGCCAGCCGCCTGCTGTGGCTTCACACACACACACACACATATTTAACCTGTCATTAAATGCATCAGTCTGGTCTGCCTGTGTGTGAGTGTCAGGTGTTAATTACGCACACCCACCTGCTGTCAGCCGAAGGTGTAATTTGTGTGCTTCATAATAAAGCGACTTTGATTTCGAGCCAGCTGCGGTTAGTTGCTCTCTCTTTCTATCTGGAGGAGATCCCTCTAGCCGTCTCTCTCTAATTCGAGAATCTACAAGCTTTCTGCACTTGAAAAAAAAAGAAACAAGTTGAGATTAGAAAGATGAACTATAATTTTATTTATAATTATAAAAATTATAAATAAATTTCAAATAATATTGTGTAGACTACAATATTTTATTAATTTTCTAAAATAAAAATAATATATAATATAATATATTTTTGATATTATATAAATATTTCTTTTTAATGCCTTATTGGTAGCCTTATTTTACACTCCCCTTTCTGGTTCTCCGATAGTTTTCCCATTTCCATTGTTGTTCCTGCTCGTCACCCATATTCGTGATCGCGAGGGACAAAGGGAAATCCCCTCCCCCGGACAAGTCCACGTACGTATTATGCGACTCAAGTCCACGGGAATTTCCAAGGGACATACCGCACACACACTCTCACCCGAACAAACACACAAATGAAAATTGATTTAGTTAAGAGGATTTGCGTCAACAACAGCACAATAAGTGGGCAGTAACACGGTCCAGTCCGAGGACGAGCTCGAGGAAATGGGAAATGCGAGGAGGAGTGGTGCCTGCGATGGGAGCGATGCTGTAGGTAGGATGGGATGCCTGGGATGAAGGTGAGGAAGATTGGGAGGCGGGTCCCCGATCCCCATGCTCTTTGTGTGCGCGCTGGCATTTGTGCCGGATAGCACTTAACTCATAAAAATGTGCGCAGCAAAGGTTGAGGTATGACCCACCCACTCCGCCCCCTCGAAGGGCGAAGCAACAAGAGAGCCCGAGGGCGGAACGAACGAGATGCCAACAATGGAGAATTATTGCTTATGACACAAGCTAACAGACAAACAACCAGGGCAAAGGGGGTGCAGGAGGTGGAGGCTCTGGGCCAGTTCTGCTGTCAGCGATGGGCGTGGCAAGGCACACACACACACACACACGCACACACTGACTTCCGCGACTACACGTTACTTATACGCCGTGTGGCACGTCATGTCGGAGGCTGCTGCCCTTCGCCGATGCTGATGCTGATGCTGATGTTGTTTGGGAACATGGCTCGTTTTAACTCGCGGCTAAAATAAATACACAAACATGTTAGCTAGTCCCTCTCCCCATCCACCCCCCCGCCAGCCTGCGAGTGGGTGTGGGAGGGTGTCGCTGGGTGTCGATGTGTGTGTGCGTGTGTGCGTGTGTAGGCCAGTGCTTTTCTATTTTAAGTGGTTGTATATGTCAGTTGAAAGCTTTTGTTGACATTCAAGTGGTCATTGAAAGTGTAAAAGCGTGCACACTGGACTGAATGGCCGAGGCAACGGAGGGAGAGGAGCTAAGAGGGGGCTCTGGCTGCAGGACTGTGGCCAAGAGGAGTTGTGCACTGTGGCAAAAATATAGAAGAAATTTTGAGATTAAAGGGAATAGTACATAAATATTAAGTAAATCAATTTCTTCAAGAAGTTTATTTTTAAAATACGACTTTGCATCCCGTTTACTTTTACCCTTTTACTTGAAATCCAGGAAAAGTATTTTGTTGGTTGGGTTACTAGTCTTTTGTTGCTGTGCATAATCCCAGTAAGCTGGCGTAGCCCTAGCCTGCGTGCTTGCTCCATGTCCAGGGCCCTAATCTTATCAGAATTGTGTTTGCTCTCCGTCTGGGATTGGAGGAATCTCACTCTTCCTTCTATTTCCACTTTCTTTTTCCTGCACGAGTAGAATCCTGCTGCCTTTCTCTCTCTCTCTCTCTATCGTATTTTTGTGCCGCTGTTAATTGCTTTTGTATGCAGCTTGACCATCGTTTTTGAGCTGACTTTTGCAGGGGAGTGGAGCCTGGGATCCTGACTGAGAGGATCAAGGCAATGCCTCGTACAGTTTTGGTAGGTAATGCCCTGCTTATGGGGGGGGGTCTCCAAAATTGCAGCATCAAATTTAAAAACCTCTTTAAAATGACTTATTTTGCTGTGGAAATATCATTTTTATTAAAGGCTCTGCCTTGGCTGCTGCCTTGGTGGTACTGTGAAATTTATTTCGCTGGCCATCATGGCGTATGAGCGATGTGAAGTGCTGGGAAAACAGCCTTAAATGGCAATTGTCAATCGTTCAAGCCTGCAGTCACTCTTCTTTCCACTCGTGCTTCTGCTGCTTCCTTTACCCACTTGAGGAGTCCGTAAAGAGCCAACAGAAATTGCCATAAATTCATGGCAAAAAAAAAATAAATAATCTGATTAATGTACACACACAATCACACACACACACACACACACTGGGCCACTCTCGGTCACTAGAGCCACTCGACTCAAGCCCACCAAAGGAATGGTCTTGGACCCGCTTCCGGCTAGAGAGAGAGAGAGAGAGGGATGGCGGAGCCGGATATGCGGCGGCGATAACGGCACTTAATCAGCATTTGACGCAGCAGCAGGCTCTTTGGGAAAAGGAAAAGCACTGCCTCCTGCCCTGTTCCCCACTTGGAAATAATCATATTTTGTGCGAGTCCTAAAAATAGAGTTGTGCCAGTGACAGGCCAAGTGTCGTCAACCTCTCTGACTCTCAGCCATGGAGCCATGGTTCCGTGAAGCCCCAGGACCAGACTGCTTTTGGGATATCGGAGGGAGGGGGGGCACCAGGGATTTGCGTCAGTGCATGTAATGGTAATGGCTGTTCATTCTGAAAATGTATTTGGCTAATCCTGAAAATTGTTAAAATCTCTATATCCTTATGATTCGATCCATTGGCTTTGAGTTTCCCCAACAAACAAGCGTCAGGTGTCAGGGAAACAGGAAAACAGGTAACTGGAAAAATTCGCAACTGCTGCAACTTTAAACTCCCCCGCAATGATTCTCGGAATTCGCCGGAATGTGCGGCATGCAGGTGGAGAGGGAGGTCGGGGGCAAACATTTATCACTCCAGGGGCAAAAATAGAACTACAAACAGGCTGGCAGAGGGCGTGGTCCACTCACCTGCTCATCGGCCAAACTA